TCTGAGATACAGGTCTAAATAGATTTGAACTTGATCGGACCAGGATTGTCTGAGATACAGGTCTAAATAGATTTGAACTTGATGGGACTAGGATGGTCTGACTTACAGGTCTGAATAGATACATAAATAAACTAGGCCAATCTATAAGTTGATGTTTTTTTGTTTTGTCTTAAGTGGGATCCAATACAAATTTTGACTCAATGTGGGTAGAATACCGGTAGTTCATGAGATAAATGTCTTCAAAATTAAAACAAAAAATATGCAAATTAGGTTGTTAAAAACATCAATCATCAATACCACATAGTCGAATGTATTCCAAAATTATCAAGCATTCTCCCAAAAAGTATGCTACAAAAGTAATTGAGAAAACCAATTTAATAACTAATTATTACAAATTAGGAATCAATTTTCCTTTTTGATACAACCACTGATTATTATGAAAACTAATTTTCACAATTTACTACGTAGCAGTAAATCTGCAATGAATTTTATCGAATTGGCTCACAAAATATAGACAGCTAAGTATTATGCAAATTAGGTAATTAATATGCACCAATTTGAATTTTATGGAAGTGGTTCTTGAGAGACAGGGTAAATCCAAAGATTCTAATTATAAAGTGACAACAAAAACACTTCAGCTGCTAATCACAAGTTAAATAAAATTAGAAAAATCACAATTATTAAATTTTCTGTATTTACACTAGTTACTACAGCAATGGCACATAATTTGAAATAAATACAGATCTCATTGTATGTAGGAAATGAAGCAAAATGTAATAGAAGGCACATGTTTACAACTATCAGAATGAAGATCAGAAAGTCAAATAGTAATAAAAAGGAGATTGTGAATGTCATACATAGTCCAAGTTGTAGTGTCCATTCATTACGGTATATTTAGGCTCAGTACTTGTTTGTAATAACTTCTTTACTTCAGATACAATAAAGACTGTTGATGTTAAACACACCAGGAAGACAAGATCTGCAAAATATTAGAGGTTCAATCAGTCAGCTATACAAGACAGTCGAATGATATCTAAACTTTGGCTTGGAAATCCCCAAAACTGTGATTAAGCACATACTATTACGGTTTTATGAATAAACTGGTGCTATTGTCTTTCCTGCTTCTGTATTTAATATATATATATATATATTAAAAGCAGACATGTTGATGAAAACAAGCCATGTATGGCACAGTCCCCATTAGTTATTTAATTTAACATATATGGTATAGTTCAATAATAAACATGTCACAGATATGGATCTTGATGTCCGATTATGATGAATTTGTTAAGATTAAAATCATTGACATCTTGTATCCATACTGAGAGATATTGCTCTGGAACAGCATTAATTAAAATAAAAAGACCACCTGTCAGCCATTTTGAATTGAATCGTCAAATCAATAACATTTTTGACATGATGTACCGTATTTATCCGGGTAAGCGCCCATGCCCGGGCAAACACCCCCCACCCCAATTTTTTTATATAATAAAGAAATTGAGGTCATGTCCGGGCATACGCTTGTAATAAACAAATAACAAACACCTATTTTTTGTTCGTTGTATTAACAGTTGACTTTCTTGCAGTCTGTTGTGATTCTGATAAAAATTCTTGAAAAATAAATGTTAATTGCATAAAACGAGGGGTGAATGCAAAGTAGTTATGACAGAAAAATAGGTAATTTCGCATTCTGCCTTCAGGGCAGCGCATTCACTGATGTTTATGTAATTTACATTTATGTTTCAAGATTTTTAATCAGAATAATAACAGTAAGCAGGTCTACAAAAATGTATATTAAAGCAAAAACGATAGTTCTCTTTTTGGAATATGTCATGGCGCTAAAAAGGGCTGTTTGGTTTGTGTTTCCGGAGAAAATCTTGCAGTACCAGGAGCCACGAAGCACCATCCCTCGTGTGCGAAGCAAGTGTCGCACTTGTTCGGATTTAGTGCCATCAACAATGAAACTAATGTTGCAATATTGTAGCAACCCGTATCTAGGAGAGTGGTTGAAAGCACGTTTTGGCTTTATAAAATATTTAGTAGCAGCTTGTGAATCCATAATTGAGGCCAGCAATTTTGCAAAGTCACACTGATTACTTGACCTCTATGATGAAACATGAGTAGTGATGTCATTCTTAGCCAGTAAGTAAAGCAGTTGCTTAAAAGGTCAAAGATGATTGAGCAGAGTCGTTTGCATGTGACCCTTTTTTTCTTCTTAATCCGTGGATTAAAAGTGCTAAGTCCAAATTGTGTGCGACGACATCGATGAACTTCTGTAGGGATTTTGTTCGACGGTGTCAGTAACACCGACTTGGACTTTGAGGGGGTTGACTTTGCTGAAGACGGCAATGAACGTACAAATACAGATCTGAGAAGTTTTTTCAAACAACTATGAACTTTCGTAATTTTTACTTTGTAAATTTGTAAATTATTATTGATCTTTTATGACTGTTGATCCGGTATTTGTCAAAACCGGAGATAATTTTATGGAGTTTGACCCCTGCCATTTTAGTTCATTTTGAGTTCACGTGTATTGGGCATGTTTGTTGGCGGGAAAATCCTAATTCAAATGATTTCTCACTGTTGATTTCTATTATTTCTGGTTTATAAGCAATAAATTATTTTTGTTATACTTCTAATGTTGCATATTGTTCATTTACAAGTATTTCTGTTTCATTTGCCATTTTTTTTTTTTTTTTGCCTATTTTTTGGTAATTTTCCATGTTTAGTCAAAGCATGTCAGAGATATGGCTCTAGAACCGCATTCATTAAAACAAAATAGACACCAGTCAGCCATTTTGAATTAGATCTGAAAAACGAAATGATGTGCATCAAGGTCCCATAATGTCCAATGCATGTACCAAGTTTGAACAAAATTCATCTGTAAACAGTCGAGATCCAGTTACGGAATGCCAGAAATGGTTGATTTTGATGATTTTTCAGCACAAAAAGGGCCGCCACTCAGCCATCTTGAATCAGATCATGAAACAAATTGATGTTCATGTTTGCACTTGACCAGCTTAGCGCCCAGGGTACTCTCGATTCCAAAAATCATGTTATATAATATAATATATATATAATAATGAATTTATTGCATCTTTGGAAATAGTTTCCATTGGTTGACAGCAATAAAATATTAGTAATAAAGTACAATACATATAAAACTAAAATAAAAGTAAAATGTAAGTTATTGTTATTTCTGATTTCAAATATTTTGTCTTATTAGTACGTCTTCTCTTGAACTCACAATATATTTAAATATCTGGTCATCACTTTTCAATTCTTCTGGAATATTGATATTATTAAATAACTTATGTCTTTCTGTTTGGTACCTAAGACATTCCATGAAGAAATGTTCTTCATTTTCAATTTTGATCTGGGTTATAGGGAATTGGGCGCTTACCTGAGCACCCCCTTCAAAAATCTGTGCAAATAACAATTTTAGTTCACTATGTAAAAGATTTAGGGGGATATTACATCTTTGGGGGAAATGAAATTATGAAATTAATTGCGCCGTCATTGGTTTTAACAACAATTTTACAATGAAAACACAGAAATGGTCACAAAAATATACATAATTAAGTAATAATTACATACTACCAGAATTTAGGAGGTTAAAATTATTAGAGTCTGTTTAATACAGTCAGTCACAGTCAAATTCTTCATCATTATCTCCATTAACAAATTTGTTTGATTGGTGCAAACTCTTTACCGATGCTTTTCCAGGAATTTCCAAAGGCATTCTTGGTAACGCAATGCAGAAGTGAATTACCAATGTCAAAGTATGATCTGTTGGAACTGATTTTGGCAAAAAAAATGACATGATTTTTTACTAAAAACTGGTAATTAGCAATTTTTGAAAAGTAAACTGAATATGGAATGCAGTTTTTAACATTTGTTAACAGGTTATGCATCCACAACATATTCATGGTGGTCGATATCCACGCTGTATTATATAAATATTCAGAAAAATCAAACAGTGATCAAAGACCATTTTAGTGGGGGATTGGCACTTAGCCAAATGTGAACTCAAAAAAGAAATGTCCCAAAAGTAGGGGGTGGGCATTTAGCTGAGCATGGGCGCTAAAGCGGTAGAGTATTGTAATAATATGTATTATGTATGTGTGAAGTTTGAATGTAATCAGTCCAGGCATGTCTAAGATATAGGTCCGGACGAACGGACGGATGGATGGATGGATGCACACACATACATGTACATGTAGGTCAATCCATAAGTCCTTGTTTATGGAGGGTGTCCGAACGGGAAATAATTAGCATAACAAATAAGTTTCATTACAATTTTTAAGCAATTTCAAAATGACAGCTGGCATAGGCTGGCATTGATCAACTGCTGTTCATAAAGTGCACAATGAATTTTATGCTGTGTCACCATACAATGTAAATGATTTATTCATATTTTCTTAGAAACAGTTATAACTGAATTTCAAAATAAAATTAAACTCATTTGTAAAAATTGTCATCACAGACAATCACTGACAGCATAAACTAGTACATGTAAATCTTAACCAAAGTTCACACAAAGTCGAATCCTTAATAAGTAGACCTCAGCCAGTAACTTTGACCCTACTCAATGATATGCTTATGATCACGTTACATGTACTTACCTTCCGGATTTAAAGCTTCAGTCTGAAACACTCTCTGTAATGGTGCAAAATATATAACAAGCAGCTGTCCGAGTATAGATCCTCCCACAGCATAGAGAAACATACGATTTTTAAATAAACCTATAGTAAATATGGATTTGGTCTAAAAACAAAGCAAAGTAAACAGAGTTAAAAATGTTCATATATATATATAATGATATATCAACCACAGCGCATAATTTTTTGCACAAGAAGTTTCAAGTAACCTTTGAATTATTAGATTAATTTAGGAGTTCAATGATAAATGTGAAAACACAGGAATTCATGCATGTTGAACGTTGAACGTATGATTTATTTCACCAATAATAATAACAATTCTAGTAATCTTATAATAATAATAATAATAATTTCTTGGTGTGGACCACAGAGGTAGTTCATCCGAACTAATCTAGTCTGTGGCCCAATCCTAACCAATATACATTTCTATGCAGGCTATATATACACATATATACACATACACATATATATATACATACATATATATATATATATATATATATATATACACATATACACGAATACACACGTGCACACACATACATATATACACATACAAACAAAAAACAAAATCTCCAGAAATAAATAAGTAAAATAATAATAATAAAAAAAAAATGAGAGAAAAAAAGAAAGAAAAAAAAAATGGAG